TAAATTGCTTGTTTCATTGTGGTTAAACTATGAGGTGACCTGATGAGGTTGAAATTTGTCGTATGTATAAATAGTTACGTTAACCTATTGATGTGGCATTTTATTGATACCAAGGTTTATTCTAATCACTCTCCTCCCAACACTGATTGGTGTCTTGTGCGGACTGTGAAGACAGGGGCCTAACCTAGGGGCTAGGCTGGGATTAACACGGTCTGTTTGAATTGAGTGCCTGCTCTCTGGGCGGTGTCTGCTGGAAGGTGTGCTCGTTGGGCTGAATGCTCTCCTCTTGTAGAAACCATTCATATGACTTCATCCACCTGCCAAAACTGAAAACACCCCCCTGCCCCTCTCTGACTGAGGCATCGGAAAATCTGCATCAGTCTCTTCCCTTTTTTGGAGGTTTTTGCAGCTTCCTGTGTGAATGTGCGTGCATCAGTTTTTAGTTTTCTCAACAAAGTTAGAGACAGAAGTGGTTGCTTCCAGGGTGCTTTGAGTATAATTTCTTTGCAGTCTGTGGGCTAGAATTCAATGTACTATTAATTTTGCTTTCAGGATCGTTACTACATGTTTTTAGCAGCACCTGAGAATACACGGCCTGATTTTTATGTTTCCAATGAGGTTACAACTTCACTTATTTTCTTACAGTTACTGAGCATGCAATTCAAGCAAAAGGTGTATAGCCACCCTTTCAGAGGACAATTGAATTTGTTTTTGTGAAGGTAAGGTGCAGAAGTGGAATGTAAGAATAAGTAGACAATTGTGTTTGATAAGGAAGTCTTTACCTGTTGCAGGTTTTTTGTCCTGGAGAGGCAGCTGATCTGTGTTCAGACAGATGAGTCCTCCATGAGCAGAAGACACAACACTGTACATTTCGAATTTCAATTTCAAATCACCATTAATGCTTTTAGAAGTCACCCAGGCTCTGCCATCACATGCCAGCTGAAGTACTGTTCCTCCAGCATGCCTGACTCTGCATAACTCGCACTGTCCACAGGATATCACTTTCCTCTTTTTGTCCATTAGAACAACCTGTTTATCCCGTGAGTACAGACGCAAAAGTGAAAGGCAACATTTATATAACTGGATTGGACAGTTAGCTGAACATGATGAGGGGCAGCCACCGTAGTGTACAACGCTGACAGACAGCATTTGTTTCTTGTAATTTTGAAGAAAGCCACATCAGTCTTTATAGATGGAAACATAGTCCCCATGTTTGATTTGGATATTTAACAAAACACCCATGTAGCAACCACAAGAGAGGTATGTAGCAAGCTCCTGGTTCCCGAAGGCTTGAAAGCTAAATGTCTAGGGAGAGGCGAGCTCCTAATGTGATGGACTAGCTGTTTCAGAGTTTGCAACGTGAGGAGGTGGTGAGGGTAAGGACTGCTGGGCCCCTCCGTTCTCCACAGGGCACGAGCTGGGAAGCCGGGCAGCGGGCAGTGCTTTCTGAGCAAAGCCCCTTTCCACCACCACTCCCTCTGCACCTCGCTGGACTGCGCTACTCAGTTTTGTTGCGAAATCAGCCCAGGTCTTGTCTGCAGCTGAAACAGTGTGTGACATGGTCGGGGGAGACCTGACATGCCTCTTGCTTGTACACATTTCCAGAGACTCTTCTTCTGGGAAGAAGTGGGGCTTTCTTAGCTCTGCTTGTGCAGCAGCAAACTGCAGGTCCAGAGGACTTTTTGTATCTTAAAATGTCATTACCACTTTTTTAAAATAAGTGTTTTGTTGCATTTTGAAAAATAATTTAAACCTTTGTAAAAAAATTTCACTAACTTGTGTTTGCAGGAAATCTATAATTTTATTTTAAAGTAGCTCAAAACAAGTTATACCATAACTATAAATGATGAGCTCTGGTCTGCATGCAACAATTTTTCTTTTCTTTCTATAGTGCTGTATTTGTACGATACATTCATGTACTCATTTTCTTTTAATCATAAAGCACTTTGAGGAGAAGTGTCATGAATGGCAAAAAAAGCTGATTGTTACAATACCTGAATTACAAATAGTTTTCCACTGTATCCACAAAATAACTGCCCTGGGAGAGATTTCTCAAAGTTGAAAAGGGAATCAGGAGGAAATCTATTTCTTTCTATTCCAAAGGGAGAATGTGACAGTGCACAGCAGTCAAGATCAATCGTGAGAAATAATAGTAAATGCTCTTCATTTATATGCTCTCCAAGCGTCTTGAGCTTACAGTCCTGGTTTTCTGTCCTTTGGAGCTTTAGAATCCTGTTCTGTTGGGGCTCCTTGTCAAGGCACTGGAGTTGGAGTTTGTAAAGTTTGGTAATGATCTGTATCTTTTAATGGAAATGGGAATGCTGTGTATTTATTTTTCTTCTAAGAAAGTTAAAGAAAACTAAAAACCATAGGGGAACTGTCTTGTATTACAGTGCATTTTGTATTTTGTTTGTTATTTCATAACGAGCTACCGGGTGGAAATGTTTAATTTATTGGGCTGTTGAATAATTATATAATAGTTTAATGAGAGTCAGTTGAGAAAATATTCTTAGTTACAGTCTGACCACCTTTCTGTTGTTGTGTGGCTGGATGATAGGAGTGAAAGTAGGCAGATAGCATTTCATAATTTTATTTATCTTCCAAATCTTTTACACATATTTCATTTTAATGATACAATATTAAACATAGAAGCAACTTCAAATTTCAAAAAGATGAACTGAGAAACTTTGAGCTTAATCACTTCATTTCCAGATAGCCTGAAGTGGGATTTTCAGCTCTGGTTTGCAGGCTCCAGGAACAGGAATTTGTTTGCATTTCATGTTAAACTGAAGGTTGTTCACCCTTCATCCGCAGCAGTCAGACCCCGAGCTGTATGGGAACTGACTGCACTGTGGCTGCTGACTGCTGCTGTTCGGCCACAGTACACCCGACTGGTCCCGTGAAAATGGTGTATCAGAAGTGGAGCCAGTGTCCCAGCTTCATGGGAGACACCACTTGTACATCTCAGAGCTGATGTGACAGAGGCACTCAGTACAAGGACAGGTCCGCTCTTAGAAATGTGATATTTAGCTCAAGTTCATGCTGTCTTAGGTGCCTATTAGATCACTATGTCATGAAGACAGAGATAAAATAATACTATCTGACCGGGAGCAATCAGAGACTTCCTTCTACTGTTAACTTACTGTAAAGTCAGTTGCGGTTGAATTGCCCCAGAACAGTTAGGGTGCCTTAGTGTTGCTCTGTGAGCTCAGACCTGCTACTTTGTTCCCACAGTCTTAAAGCGCCTTTGCAAGGGAATGCACGCAAAGTGGATACTGGTTTCTTTAAAGGAGCAGATAATATTTCGTGACGCGTTCTGGCAATTAGTAATTCTCACTCACCCTGTCCGTTCTCCTGTCTCTGCTTACTTTTGAAAAGACCCCTTTAAGTTGATTCTAGCAAGACATACCAAATTGGTAGAAATGCTTCCTGGTCATTGTCTCTCTCTTGAAAGATTTTGTTTGCTGGATTAGCTGGTTCACATGGTTGCCAAGGAGGAAGGCAGGCTTGAAAAGTGTTCTAACGATGGACATGTGCATCTACATCTTCGCCTTGCTCCAGTTTAGGTCTCTGCTGTGAGATCACTTTCTTGGCCATATACAATTTCTTGCATTCAGAATTTGTCTTTTTGCATACCCCAACTTGCTCTCCATGAGACTCACAGACAGGGAGAGAAGCTCTGTGCCCCTGGAGCAGCTGGGGTTAAGAGCCTTGCTCAGGAGCCCAACGGAGTAGGATTCCTCTGCCGGCCACGAGATACGAACCGGCAACCTTCAAGCCCCACCACTCTGCCTAATGGTCTAAAACAATGTCCTAGAACTTTGTTATTGATATTATAAACGCTTCTTAAACATTACTACACACCCCACACCTTAGTTTTAAGGTTAGGTTTATGGTTCAGGTGGTAATCAAATTTAGGTTTTTCAACAGATATCCAGTTAATGTTTAGTACAGGGTATACGGTGCAGATAGGTTATCATCACCATTTAAATCACTGTTGATACTTCAGTTATATATTTAATTTCTAAACCCCTTCTAAATGCCATTTGCAAACCTACTTTTGTACCCATTTTTCTTTTTCATCTTTGTGAGATATCAGCTTCACATCTCATCAGTCAATGTGCGTCATTTCCTGTTTCTGTTGACTGGGCTCTTTCTATATGAGAGGTGCACAGGGTAACCACATCAGCATCTCTTCTGTAGTGCAGTGTGCATCTTTTGTGTCTTGGGTTAGGGAAAGCTTGTTTACCCTTCTTAAGGGTAACTCCCAAGTCCAGCTTGGAGTGGTAATCCTGTTCAAGAAGTAGTAGTAGGAGATAATCGAAACAATGATCACAGTGTAATACACAAGTTAAAGAACAGCATAAAAAATGACCAGTCACATAACAGGGCAAGTTGCAGAAACGGCAGCCAGCAGTGGGCGTCACGTTCTCACCTGAGGCTGCAGTGAGATGTGGGGAAGAGGATGGAGAGCACTGCTGCTCCCCTGACTACTGAATCACAGTCACAGCCCTGCCAGCTTGTTTCAGTGCTAAGCCAGGCTCATGCAAACTAACCTGTCAGATTCAGAACCACACTGTGGTTAATATGACTTTTATCGAACTGTTCAAACTGCTGTCTGCTCAGTGTTCAGCTTGTTTTTATTGTAATCCTGAGTGTGATTACCGTTGTCCGTCTTGTGCTGTTATCTGAAGCTCTGTACTAAAACTACACGATGAAATGTATTTTTACTGTTACACGTACGTTTATTGTTTTTCATGTAGTTGAATTATGATTTATAACAGAATTCAGGTAGAGGAGTCACAATCATCACATTTGTTACAAAACCCATATGCATGGGGGAAAAACTGCTCTATTGCTAAAGTGTAGTAAACGGATCCTTCCCAGTAAGGTCTTTATATCTCCTGAGAACTTCCTCAGTCGCATCCTCCAGCTCTGTGTTAAGTGATGCGGTCTCAGTATTTCACTGGCCTTATAGCTCTTTGTGTTTGTGCCCACAGCTCTCATGGTACCAGGTGACCTGTGACTGGAGTGAGGAGGACATCAGCAGCCCATTCGAATCACCATGTCTGGGATCCAGGTAGAGAGGCTACTGTACTGCTTCATCCTCATTATGCTGGAGGACCTGAGGGCAGTTTTGTGCTGCTCTGGGAATCCCCAGTTCTTCAGAGATCATCTCATTGTCCTTTCAGCTTTTTCCAATCTGTTGGGCATTATCAGTCAGTTAAGAAAAACACTAGTGATTTCATGAATCGTTTTTATTCTTCTGCTGTACTAAGGGTGAAACCCTGTATAGTACTTGAAATATGCAGTGCAATGCAAATGTGTTATGGGGTGTATGCAACATTGAGGCAAATTCCTATTGCACTCCATCGACAAATAAAATTTCTATGTCTGTATTGTACAGAAAGTCTTTGGAGGATAACGAGTAACCTAAAAACGTGTTCAAAGTCTTCAGAGTGATGAAGCTGAATGAGAGTTTAATTCTATCTCCCTTGAGTGCAGCCAACTCATTGCCTCCCTTTACCTGAGCAGAGTTTGGGAGAGCCTGTGGCTGACAGTCTCCGTGGTGATTTTGCTCCACTGTTGCTCAACTTTTCTGCTGTGACCCAACACTCTGACTGGAGCTACTGTCAGTCACCCATGAATACTACATGAAATGTGACGCCCGCACCTTGTGTGTACAGTGACCGAAATGAGGGCAGCCTGCATCTTCATTGACTTAATTGACTCCAACATCTGGTCTTCCAAGTAATGCAGGAAGGCTTTTCAGCCCATCCACCTCATTTAGTTTTTAGGAAAAGAAAGCATAGCTGTTTTCTTGAAAGAAGAGAGGGTATCACCTACAGCAGCATGGCAGACTTTCACAGCTCTTTGTGTAAAGGTATGGCTTTCTGTGAAGATGAATGGGTGACCAATACAATTCGAAGAAACATCAATTATATATAAGTGCCATTTAATAATTAATATGTATGAAACTTAACAAATCCAAGTGGACATATTGCCACATCTCTTGTTTAGACCATCCCTTGGCAAGATTTGCCTAGAGCCTGCCCAACCTAGTACTGTTATGTGTGTGTTGTGAGAAGATGCTAATTATCTGCTGGAGTTGGAGTTGGAGTTTAGTCACTCTGAAAGTGTGGAAGAATCCAGACAGCAGCACACAGCTGTGAGTGACTCCTTTTATCAGGGATCAGGGCTGCTGGAGTGTCTGACAGACCATCAATACAGCACTTGTTCTGTTCTCTCCTTGAAGCTGGCCTGGGTGACTGGCCTTAGTCCTTTAGCTGTAGCCAGTCCTGCCTCCATTGAGTTGGTGTACAGGGCCTCTTTGTGCTCCGCTATGCATTAAGTCTGGGGCTGCCTGGGGAATTAATACAGCCAGTGGAAAACCGGAGGTTCGAGTACGACTGGTCCTTTTCATAAAGAATGACACTTTCTTTCTCGCTCTGGGAAGACCAGAAGGGCCAACTGTATAAAAGAGAAAGCGGGTCTCTTTCACCGTGGTAATGTCAGTGGCAGGAGTTTCAACAGTTAACCAACATTTTATCAAATTTGAAATCTGAAATGAGCAATTGATGTCCTTTGTTTTACAAAGGGTGTGTGGAGTATCATTTCAGGAAACAGAGACCCTCACAGCAGGCGAGGAGTTACTCTTTCAGTTTGTAGCACTGTCAGGTTAATCTGAAAGCTGAAGTTGATCGTTGAACAACCCAAAGTTGAATCAATATTAAGCAATTATTGCATTTGTTCAACTGCCATCCCCGTAATCTACAATAAAACATCTGCTTTAAGCACTTATATTATGTCTGAAGTTATAAAAAATAATTTTGCTGCAGAATGTGTGGAAGAATATGAATGTAAAAAGGGGGAAATAACCAACAAGAGCATTTACTGGAGCAGTTAAATATTTAAATTCTAGAAATGTCAAAATTCTCATTTTCAGTTGCAATGTGGTGGAAAGAGTGATCTGTTAACTTCTTCATGATGATTCCCTGGGCTGATTACATTTTAGGTTTATTATTCATGATAGATCATTCTGCTTAGTTGCCCTGTGTGCTACAGTCACGTGCTGTCCACTGAGGATAACTGTCATCTCACATATGGTGCAGAATTTCACTTACTATCATAGCTATGTAAATGCATTCAACCACCCTATAAGACACAAGTTTATTTTAAGCACTGCCAGGTGGAAGTGAAACAGAGAGACAATAGCATATAGACCAGTATCGCTGTTCTTGTTTCTCCCTTTCTCGCTACACGTACATATAGCTTGTCTGAAGTGTTCTTTTCTATGTATATTTATAAATGACACAGTTGTCATCATTAGCCTTTCCCAAACTGTATTTGTCATCATGCATTAGTATTGATTTTGTAGTGGAATAGGCTCACAGTGATCTTCATCTAAATTAATGACCATGGCAATGCGGTATAATAATTGCAGTTCCACTGCATGACTTCACTGTTAGCAGATTTCCTAACTGACATTCTCAGGGACACACAGGTAAGGAACTGGCACGAGATGTCTTAGATCTGCCCTGAGTGGACTCTTCTGTGCAGACAGGTTGTCACATGCAACAGATTATCAGTTTGATCTTGAGGCTGTTCCCACCCCAGCACACACCTAGAAAAGCTTATTTATGAGAAATGTTTTGCAGCCCTTTCAACCACTTGTCATTAGAATATAAGAAATGTTTTTGCTCAGAGCAGTTCACTCAGCTGCTCAAGTGAGACCATTTGTGTGTAGAGTGCAATTCTGTCACACCATCAACCTTTGAACCCACTGTGTTAGCTTCCTCAGTATGCTGGAGTAATTTGCTCATGCGGTAGTAATTCTTTGCATGAAAACGTTCTACTACTGGTACAAAATTAGCCCTTTGCAAACCTCTGTTTCTGTTCTCTTAATCTGCTCTCTGAAGTTCCTCAATTTGTTGTGTGATTGAAATTCAACTGTACTCCCGGGCTGAACTTCTTTAGACATTAATGAGTTTATCAGGGTGTTCGTTTGACGTGAGTGAGAGTTGGATCAGTGTGTGACTGAGTAGCCACTCCTGCCAACGCATTCCTTTTTATTGGTGACCACAGTGAGCCAACCTGCCTACCTGTCCAGGCTCAGCTGCTCCATGCATGCAGGCTGTGTCTCGAGTCCTGTGGTCTGTTTGGTTTCTTCTGTAGCCCCTGTGAACCTCAGCCTAAGGTTTTTTTTTCTTCATGCAGTTAGACCAGGCTGTATTAAAGTGAAAGCTCCTAAAATTAAACATTAAACATGGGGAAAAAAATGGAAAACACTGTTCTTTACATGTGTACCATTTCCACTGTGCCTGAGTGATTGCCTTCAACACTTTGTTCTTTGTTCCCTTGCATTTTCAGACAGTATGGCCGTCTGGCACAGAGTGCATAGCCAAGTACAACTTCCAGGGGACAACAGAGCAGGACCTGCCCTTCAGCAAAGGAGATGTCTTAACCATCATTGGAGTAACCAAGGTAACCTTGAGCCGTGTCACTGTATGTACTGCTAAACTGTGACCTTCTTTGCCAACGCCTGCTTGAAGCGCACAACAATGTATCCTTTCATTAAAAAAATTATAGAAATACAGCTCAACACATATTTGTAACACTGAAAACACTTGTTTTTTAATAGCGCTCATGCTGTATATCCATGGTATGTATAATATAAACATGCACTGTTTAAATTGACTGTTCTCTTCCTTTCTTAAATGCATGTGAAGAGCTGTAGTTCAGTGCATGTTTTAATGACATGATTTTTCCCCACTTTAAGAGAATGATTAAGCAATAGAAACTCGGGAAGCTGGTGTTCATGTTGTTCTGTGAGCGAGAATGGTAATTCTGGCCTGGTGGGCACTATGAATTAAACAGCCCAGTGTGGCAGGGTGACCTGAAGATGACACACTGTCACTGTCACTGTCACCTGCTTCCTGTTTAAGTCTCTTCAGAGTTTCAGGTTTTTGTGAAACGCACAGTTCTCTCTGTTGGTGTTCTGAATCATTTATTGAATATTAATATTTTCAATTTTAATCACAAACATTCCCCTCTTTCCCTTACCAGATGGTAATTTGGTAACCAAAGTGATGTCTCCTCTGGCACTAGAGATCAGGAGGTCTGTGTTGAGCTGCTGTCTCACTGTGTGTAGCGCTGAGGGAAAGTGAGGTATCCTCCACCTATAAAATGCCCTCTGTCATTGCGGTTTCTTGCAAGGTAAAGGGCAGGTGATGTGTTGAAGAGTGACCCATGTGTGAGAGTTTCTTTTCTTTGCTTTAGGGTTTATCATTCTCTGGCTCATCAGCCTCCTTGCTGTTTTCTCTTTTTGTGTGTTACATCATTATTCTCTGCTGTCTTTCAGGATCCAAACTGGTACAAAGCAAAGAACAATATGGGGAGAGAAGGTACCATCCCGGCTAACTATGTCCAAAAAAGGGAAGGAGTTAAATCAGGAGGCAAACTCAGCCTAATGCCGTGAGTACAGCTCAGTCCTGGACTCAGCCCTGAAGTCTGTGTCATGCTGTTGAGTTCTAGTGGATCCTGTGACTTTATAATAATAATAATAAACTCTATTTTATATAGCACCTTTAAAGGTGGCTTCTCAAAGCGCTTTACAGGATGACAATAACAATAAATAAGAAGACTACAACAATAAATAAGAAGATTTCACAAGATAGGACACAATTATAATTACAACAATACAATAATAACAATAGAGGAGACTGTGGAAGTGGTACTAAGAAGAGCAGAGGGGTGAAGAATGGAACCAGTTAAGTAAAGGCTTTTCTGAAGAAGAAGGTTTTGAGTCTGGATTTGAAGGAGTTTAGAGAAGGTGACTCTCGGATATCCTTGGGCAAAGAGTTCCAGAGCTTGGGGGCATAGCAGGAGAAGGCCCTGTCGCCCATACAATGTAGACGGGCTTGGGGGACAGTAAGGAGGGCAGAATTTGAAGAGCGGAGGTTGTGAGGTGGGGAGTAGGGCGATAAAAGTTCAGACAGGTATTGAGGTGCCAAGCCATGTAAAGCCTTATAGAACAATAACTTTTAAAAAGTTATTGTTCTTTGACTTGGAAATAGCATGGTTGATTGCACTGACAATAAGAGTGCAGTAACCATATATTTTATTTTCTACATAACGTTTACAGCAGAGATACTCTCTGGGGAGTTTGAGTTCTGTACATGAAACTGAAGCCTTGTGACTAATGCGAACTTATTCAAGCTTTCTGCTCTGTGTCTGACATAAAACAGACAATTTGTGAACCACAACTCAATCTGGGATAGAGTTGTACATATGAGTGTAAGACAGGTTATGAATGCAGCCCTTCTTGGTCTTTGTTTGGGGCTCTCAGCTCATCAGTTTCAGTCCTGCGTTAGGCTCATTATTGGCACAATGGTAGCTTAGTGCCCAGGCAGTGCCCCTGAAGTGTCAAGACTCTTGTCGAAAAGCATGCATTACAGTTGTGTTGGTTAGTAAATAGGTAGTAAAGGTTGGGGTAAACAGCACAGTGAACATGTGCGGATATACTCCTCTGGCTCTGGCCCAGCAAAGTCGGCTGCTGCCCCAACATCCTGTGTGTCTGAGGTGGGTATCCTTCTCTGAAGTGTTAATGAAGCTTGAAATGTGAGCAGATTGGGATGGCAGGCTCACTCAAACTGGCAGAACTATCCTTATATCTTCTGTTTTCTGTAGTTAATGTTTTTCAAGATTGTCACTTTTCCAAGGTTATTGCATCCTCCCAGTTTACTCATTCAATTATTTGAATTTAAAAGTGTTAACTGGAGCAGGTAAGTCCAGTCATGCAGAGCAGCTGTTCCTTGATGAAGGGGAGTTATTCGGACGTGGGAAGGGCACCAAGCTGTGCCTCTTCATCCTGACTTCATTGAGTTTTTTCTTTGAGTCAATATATTGTTAAGAGACTGGGAACTAGTTTCAGTATTTCCAATAGGAAAGATTCAGATGTAGTTATTGAATTAACTATAAAAACAAAAAGTGGATATTAAATGCATATTATATGAAATATTTATTTTCATGAGAATGTATCATTACTTAAAACAGTGTTACATTAAATGGCGCATGTAATATGATATATTGCATGGAACAATCAATGGCAATTTTTTAAAAGGCAGAGTCAACAGCAGTATAAAAGGGTATAACATCCACTGTGAAGTGTGGAAGTGGATCAATATAATCGCAGGTCTGCATCACAGTGAAGGGAGTCAGGGCACCGGCCATAAAACAGGGGGTATCCAGATAGCTAAGCTCGGGGATGGGTCTCTCAATGCTGGGATCCATCCTTCAACATGGCTATGTGCAGACAAAATGTTGAGTGCTTATGCAGAATGCAATGAGGCTGATGGACTTATAAAGGTCTCTTGGCCTGTACAAAAGCCTGACAGGAACGTCAGAGGCTTTGTGCAATTTGGTTGAATAATGGAAAATGTTTCAGGGTATTTAGAACACCCTTGAGTGCTGAATAAGAACAAAAAAACAAGATGTAACAAATACAGATTAACTGAACATTAAACACATATACAAAGACAAAAGTCCTGTAATAACTGGCTATGTATGCATTATACAGTACATTGTACATGTGTTTAATGGTATGTGCTTAACATAATTTTCCTGTACCTTTAGAAACCAGCAGAGATCAATTCTGAACTGTTACAAGTTAGGTTACTCTTTTATTCATTCATTAGCTTGGAGCATACAGTTTTAATATTCATGCCAAGTCTCCTTCCATTTCCACTAGCAGCCCTAGGCTGATGGAAGACACACAGATGCAATATGTGACAATATTAACAACAAATTGTTCCTCCAAACACAGAAAACTAATAGTGCATATAATAACAGGAAGCTAAGTGTCATGAGAAAGTGCCTCCCAGCCCTCAGGAGACAATTCATCTGATGTAGGTTGACAGCTCATTGAACTGACCATCTCAGACAGGATTTTTTTGAAGGTTTTAGACAGTCCAGCGTACATATCAAAAATCAAAATACAATTGATTAACATCTAATCAGGTGCTGCATGTTACCACACACCTGAAGCACATTACTACATTCTTACCATTGTAATTTAAATGATTTTTTCGAGTCATTAGAGAGAATTTAAAAAGCTTTACAATTTTTTGTGACTGAATTATTTCACCGTAGACCATGAACACAGGAACAGTAAAACAGAACAACAGCCCTTCCTTCTCCTGGCCTCCTTCTCCAGACCCAGCTTTTACACTTCCATACGAAAGAGCTGCGAGTCTCAAATGTGTGAGAGTGAGAGTCACAGCATCAGCATGTAGAATCTGCTGTTCCATGGGAATAGTGGTAATATCTCCTTTTTGGAGTTGTGTAAAGTGCGAATATCCGGACTTAAATGGTCTTTTTTCCACCGAGCGAGCAGGCGGCAAGCTGCTCCCCAGAGGGAGTGAAGGCCACAGCTGTCCGCAGGCCAGTGCCCTGTGCAGTGCTGCTGCAGCTTCCTCCTCACCAGCGGCTCTGTTATTTCTGACTTGGAAATAAGAAGCAAGGCCTGCGAAGGCTGACAGATGCAGAGGAACCGACAGGTTTCCAATACTATATCCTTGTTAGAACTTCCTAAAAGTGCTCTAAATAGCTCTCTCTGGAATGTGAAAAAAATACACTTCCCTTTATTAAATACAAAGGAATGCCAGAACACCACGCAGCAGTAGATAGGAAGGCAAAGAATTCAAATCTTGGTTTAAATAAAACTGTAAGTTCTCAGGTTATTCTAAGCTTTAATGAGGAAGTCCCTATGAATATGACTTTTGTGTTTGCTGCAATAAGTCCTCATCTTCGGATTTTCCGCGATATTTGAGTTTGGTTATCTGTATGGTGAGAAATGATGTGAAAGGCTAACTGAGAAATTAGGCTCTTTGAGAACAAGGAGAGTGCTAAGTGAGGGTGAAATCTGAAGAAGCCTCTATAATGTAGCTCTCTTCAGTTGTGGGAGGAGTGGGCAATATTTGGATCAAACCACTAAGGCCAGCAGTTCAAGGATAAGACAAAACAAACTGAGGAAACCTAAGGAAAGAAATAAAGGTCAGTTGGAAACGGGGCATGTTTATCACTCTGTGTCTATAGCCCCAGATCGTTATAGACCCCTTTAAAACGGTGTGTTGTAGTGCTTCAGCTACGTGCTCCCAGCACTTGTGTGGGCAGCAGAAACAAGAGCTCGTTCAGGGAAGCGGATCAGACGGAGCGCTGAGGTGCCCTGTGCTTCTGCCATGAACTGGGCCTCTTGTCCACTGAGACATGAGACAGGGCCACCTGGGTTCCTTTAAATACAAAAGAAATCCCAGGTGAGTATAGTGAACACTGCAGGAGCACTAATAAGGTTCCTGCCAATAGCTTCTGTAGTGAGCATCCTCTTTATATGTGTTGGCACGTCTGTGCAGCCACGACTCATTTGCATGGATGACGTCTTACAATGAGGTACAGCATTCGATCATAACAGCCATCTTCTTTTTTTGATTCCATGTTAAATGTCTTAGCACAAGCCAGACCATGACTGGCTGAACTTTGATCAATTTATCTGTTTTGCAGTGGAAAATCACTTTGGATCTAAATATGTTTAGTAAGCAAAAACTGTAAAAGCTCATAGTATTTACATGGTCAAACTAAGGTCCTTATAGGTCCTTATAAACACTAAGTGTATTTCTTGTGAGTTTGTATCCTCTAGTACTTCTAGATAGTGGAGTATTATAATGAAGCTTTTCTGTGCTAATTAAAGTTCCTGTATGTGCTCACACAAATCTATCACATTGAGAAACCCTAGAATAAAAACTGTCATTTGGCATCTTTTATCAACTTCAAGTTTTAGCGGTGTTGGTGACTACTGAGCGACCTTCTGTACATAACACAGGAGCATCTATATATCCATTTGGATTTAAAGCAGAGTTTGTAAATGAGTTTGGTCCTCTTTTGGACTGTTTTATTGTACAGCTTTCAGCACATCAATGCTGTATTTTACCAGCTGCCTGTCAAAGTACTAATGTAATTTGCTCAGTACAGCTCTCCTATTAAGTAGACAGCAGCATTGAAAATGTACAGGACCTGTGGTGGGCTGGTGGTGTCGGGCCGGAGCCGCTCAAGGGCTCGGCTCGGCTGGGCTGTCCCTGCAGTGGCAGACAGTGCCCTTGAGGGGCACGTATATCTGCTGAACATAACTATCTATGAAAAGGGTGGGGAACCCCCAGTCCTGAGCGCAGAAATCCGATCAGCCTGCCTCATGCTGGACGTTCTGATTTGTACACCAGTCCCACTCGCGGGCAGTGTGCAAGGGGGTTTGTCCTGAGTTTCGCTGTCTGACGCCACTCGCTGGCCACCCACCGGCCTCTGCGACACCTGTGCTTCAAGCACCTATAGGTGGGATTTCTTTTGTGCATAAAGTCTGTGTTGTGCAAAACTTCTTGGTTAATAACTGCTCTGAATTTTGTGAGATTTTCTGATAAAGTGATGCAAAACATAGTGCTACTATAGTAGAAAGGTATTCTGTAACGGTACTAAGTAGGGAATTGTTCAATTGTTGTATAACAGTATTTTCTGTTAATATAAACAGTACCGGGGTCCCCATTTCTGCAATCTGCAATAGTGTACATTCACATTTTGTGTGTGGAAACCGAATGATTACAGTAATGACCCATTAAGTTAAGCACTTAAATGGAATTTAACCTTGTTTGAAATGTTTTAGGAACACTGTGAATTTAAAAATTAACATAGAGAGAGAGAGAGCTTGTATATGAGAGAGATTGCACGAGAGAAATAGTGATCTTATGTGTGTGTTTGTAAGTGATGAACATTTTAATACATAATACACATTGTAAGATTAAATTTAAAATTGTACTTTTAAAGCATAGTGTATTGCATGAAGATGAAAGCAACACTGCAAAATACTTTATTAAATGTATGTACAGTATACTACTAGGGTTACATTAGTGTACATACATTTAATACTTGATAGAGTGAATGTATTATAAGTCATCTGGTGTCGTAGTCTGCCTGTGCCTCTTGACTTTTCGCTTTGCGTTTAGAGGACCTAAAGTCCTAGAAGAGGACTTTACACCTAAAAGAGGCGTAAAAATAATCAAACATACAGCTATAAAATAACACAGTAATAATAGCTATAATGTAATCATTTGTAATAATGTAATCACTTTATTATTTGCCATTTTTTATGCTCTGGAAGGTTTTTGGGGTGGGAGTTCATGTCTTTTAGACAGGGGAATTTTTACATCCACAGTCTCTAAAAGTCAGTGGCATAAAAGCAAAGTGACATTCAGCGGGGAATTCCTATACTAAATTAAACAAAAGTTGATATTCTACTTAAGCAACCAAGACAGTACCGTATGAAGAGGTTTCTATTCCAGAAAACCGCTCCTCATGAAGCGCTGTGTTGTCAGCTGTCCACCGGATAAGATCACTTTATTAGCCCAATACAATTTCTTGCATTAGGAATTTGTCTTTTCACAGACCCCAGCTTGCTCTCCATGAGACACACAGACAGGGAGAGAAGCTGGGGGTCAGAGCGCAGGGTCAGCCATTGTACAGCGCCCCTGGAGCAGTTAGGGTTAAGGGCCTTGCTCAGGGGCCCAACGGAGTAGGATTCCTCTGCCGGCCACGGGATACGAACCGGCAACCTTCCAGACACAGGCGCAGATCCTTAGCCACAGAGCCACCACTCCGCCCCAAAAGGGAACAGGAGCACCCCAAATGGGACTTGAACGCACAATCGCTGGCTTACTGCAGGAGGCTAGTGCGTTATCCGTTAGGCCACCAGGCACCACCTCTGGCACCACTGTGACGTCCAGCGCTGAAGCATTCAGTTCTCTGCCCTGCCTCAGTCGCACATCTCGCAGATTAAAGAGCATTAAAGAGCTAAGAGGAGGGAAAACCTAACTAATCTAATCAGCTCAAGCCCCTCTAAGCCGCTTAAACGCAGACCGAAGTCCTAATGTGAAAGGAGTAGGAGAAGGAAAAACATTACAGGGAATGCAATTATTGTGTGATTACAACTTGACAGAAATAGACTCTGATCTCATTGTTTTGGGGCATTCCAACTGACATTCACGGTGCTGACTGAGATTGTGGAGAGGAAAGAGCACAAAAGAGGGCAAAGAGCTCAAGGCCCTACATTTCCACAGTCTTTGGCCAACACTCATCTTCTCAAAACCTTCTTTCATTTGTTTAAATGTTCAGCATGCTATCGCTGTACTACAGATAAATTGAAAGTCAAAGGTCTACAAAGGTCTTTTAAAGTTGTATAATTTAACTTTTTAAATTTAAATTCTGCACCTTAACTTCTTTAAAATTCTGTTTAACAGCCCTTCTTGGCTACATTCAGCCACAGTCTTTTTTCCTTCACTTCTTTCATGAGAATCTTTTACAGAGCCGCCTAAGAGACTCTGTTCCTTACTGGAGGTCCCAGTCCACAGTGCCAGGAGCACTCATGTGGCGGCGTAAAACAGCCTTAGTTTTGCCTTGGTGAGGTCTGATAACAATGTCAAAGTGAAAGAAAGGTCACGAAGGCAGGAAACCAATCAGCCTGTCCTGGGAACTCATCATCCCAGTCGTGAAAGAGAACGTGTGAGCAGCTGTCTCCAGGCAGACACCGCCCTTTGTAAGGAGAAGTGCTTCCTGTTCTCAGTGAGATTCATTTCTGTTTGAGCTCTTGTTTATGAATCTGCAGCGAGTCCTTTAGATGGATTTCGTCAATATGTTTTAGAATAGTTCTGTCCTGCAGTGCACTGGCCTCCAGTCCGGGCTGCGGTCTTCCCTTGTGCCCCTTGTTTCTGGCTCCAGGTTGTCATGACCTGTGCTTGATTTCCTGTCGCTTCCGTTCAGATTGTTTTTTTCCCGAAAAAGACAAATGCTCCGTGAAGAAAGCAGCCATCCGTAAGAAAGGCTTGCACATGGGCGGGCAGGAAGTGGCAGAGGGGAAGTATGACAGTGGGGCACAGGTTTCTGTTTTAGTGCTATGCTTCACTGCACATGTTCTAATCTGTACTGAGCCAGCTGAGCTTTTAAAGAGAGAGGGCTTAGACCACACCGGTCTTCTAGAACTTGTCATATGTTAGAAGAAGTGACTGGTAAAAGCAGAATGTATAAAATCATGACAATTATTACTATTATTACTATTATTTCAATTTTGGTTGAAAAACAGAAAGACATTGCAGCCCTTAAGGTACGTTGCTAGTTACAGACATTAGTGTTGGCGTTATAAATCATTAATCCCTTCATTCATACTCGACTGCTTCACTCAGGCTGATCCTGAATTATTTAAGAGCCCACAGCAGCAATATCGATGGAACACTTAACAGTCCATGAAGTGGGCGGAGTGCTGGTGGGCTCTGACAAACTGAAACACTGCCTGTCCCCATTTCCTCCGCTCTGCCCAACAGGACCTCATGTCTCTCGATCTGCCGGGTTCACAGAGCGGCGGGGCTTCATTTACCCAGTCAGTGTCCGAGCAAAGTGCGGCAAGGCCTGCGCTCTGTTATAGCTTTATCAGAGAAGTGGAGAGAAGTCTAAAATAGCACTTTGTACCACCTGTGGGCAAGTTAGAGCTAGAGCTTCTTCAGACAAACTTTCTTTGTGTGGGGCATTCTAAATGTATTTTTCTGTTATTGTAAATGTTTTCTTGCTAAGTCATAACAGAGGTAAGGGAGCTATAAATGTTGGGGAATTTTGTTGGGTTTTTTGGATCTCTTGAATCTATAATGTTGCTCATTTTTATTTAGTTTTTGGTCTAACCCATAGTGCCTGATCATCTGGGATCATGGCTGTGGTGGATCTGTGCTCTGTGCTCTCTCCCTGGCCTGGGAGCCTGTCTCTGTGCTCTGTGCTCTCTCCCTGGCCTGGGAGCCTGTCTCTGTGCTCTGTGCTCTCTCCTCTCTCCCTGGCCTGGGAGCATGTCTCTGTGCTCTGTGCTCTGTGCTCTGTGCTCACCACGGCTGTGCTCTGTGCTCTGTGCTCACCACGGCTGTGCTCTCTCCCTGGCAGCTGGTTCCATGGGAAGATCACCCGAGAGCAGGCGGAGCGGCTCCTCTACCCCCCTGAGACGGGCCTGTTCCTCGTGCGGGAGAGCACCAACTACCCCGGAGACTACACCCTGTGCGTGAGCTGCGAGGGCAAGGTGGAGCACTACCGCATCATCTACCACAACGGCAAGCTGACCATCGATGAGGAGGAGTACTTCGAGAACCTCATGCAGCTTGTGGAGGTGAGGAGGGCAGCACCGTGCAGGCGTGACCACTCTGCCTGTCCAGCAGGCCTGCTGGCTGTATCTTTGTACTGTGACAGTGCACAAAAGCTTTAAGTGTTAAATATATCTCAGTATTCTGCATTTTTTTCCCTCTTCTGTGAAACTGAGTCCTGGACTTTCTCCAAATATTTTAGTTTTGGTCACAGTTAAATGCTACTAGAAAGTCTGGTAGGGCTCCCAGTTTGGAGGAATCCTAAAGACATTTAATTACGATGAAGTATGTTTGGGAACTAAAACAGGAGAGCACTTACTGAGGAGAGGAGGCCTTTCGGCCCATCTAGTCTGGTAGTTAGTAGTCACTTGATCCAAGGACCCCATCCAGCTATTTCTTGAAAGAAACCAAGATATTGGCTTCAATAACATGACTGGGCATCTATAAAACCATTAAGAGTACCATATTAAATTATTTCATCACGCAGAACTTATTTAAGGGAAGAAACATTGGTCTAATTCCAACAACTTTCAACGTAAGAAGATGGATCTTCATCAACTATTAAAAAGCAGCGATGCGTGTCTACAGCTTTTTCCAGAAGCGTAGTGCCACTGTTGTTGTTTAGGTGCCATTGTGGTAGAAGAAGTGTTGGCTGGAGCTGCGGAGGCTGTGTTTTTCTAATGACTTGAGTTCTGGCTGTGCAAGAGACGTTGGCGCTCTGCCTATTCTTGCTTCCCTGCACTGTTTGGAGTGGGTGGAGCTCGGGAGGCAAAGAGAACAGAAAAATTGGCGTCAAGTTCAATCTTTTACACTCTTAACACCTCAAGAAACACATGACCGTAGTCTGCCACAGCCTTGCTAATTCTGATACTTAGCTAAAATTAGCCCGTGTCTATATGCAGACAGCCCAGAATCACATTTCATCAACACCGCGCGCTTTTGATTAATTCCCTCTCTAACCATGTGCACACACGAGAAGGCAAAAACATGACCTGTATGACAACAGAGCACAGGGCTTAAAATCAGATTGAGTAGAAAATCTGAGAAAATCACTCTCATTCTTTGAGGTCAGGTCTGGCTGTTGTGCTACAGCGATGCCGCGTGGTCCCCGAATCCCAGCTGCCGCCCTGTGGCAGTGCCCAGCCCAGAGGCAGCCTCTGTGGCACAACTGCATGGCTTTCTGACCCACCCTTTCGCTTTATTGGTATGAAGAGAAGCAGTTGCTTAGCAGCTGGACTGTTATGAACAGGAATAGGGAAAGCTGTGGTGAAATGGCATATTGCCATTAACTCACACTAGAGGTGCGCAGAGCTTGCAGGAAGTGCCCCTGTGTGTGCGCTTTGTGTGCCTCCAGCAGCCCCGTGTGTGTAGAGAAGCAAAGAGTCATTTCCATACAGTACAGTAACTGAGGGGGAGATGCATGTAAATATCACAGTTTATATGCAAACACTATTCACAACAGGGGTGCATTATCATGTATTAATGTTTAATGATTAATTTGTGTTCCTAAAGCTCAGTGAAAGCAACAATGAATAACAGAAACCTTGTTATATCTGACATGTGAACACAGAACATTATACCATATTGTCTTTGGGTTATTTTATATATAAGCCAGTTTAAATGAAATCATATGCAGCCTCCTTCATTGTGACAAGTACCTGGTTACACTGATGTTACACTTAAGTTCAGTATTTACTTTGGATACCTTTAGCTTTATGAATAAGGTGGGAAAATAGTTTTTGCCTGCTGTGCGTTGTCGTCGTGTCCCGTAGAGTAATTCTGCCCTTTTGCTGTTCTGTACACTTTAACAAAAATAATGACACATTTTCACAATATGAGAACAAGTCACGTAATTTTAACGGTGTTAGTGAAAAGATTGTCCAGTTTACGTGACTGAACGAACTGACTTCATTTACACTCTCCTGCTTCTTGGAGCTTTCACAGTCCTGATTTTGCAGGTGGTGTGAAGATAGGAGTGGTTCTCAATATTGGACCGGGGCCCTTTTCTCTTCTTCAGTGTCATTGTGGCTGGGCTGCCATTTTAGTGGAACAGCTACGTGGTTCCCTCTGCTGTGGAGCAGATTGCAGTCTGAGAGCAGAGCTGGGGAAATGGGTCTTGTGCTGCAGTGTTGCAGGCTGGGCTGCACTGTGGAAAGCTGTGGTTGCAGCAGAAGCATGGCTGAATGAGCACGCTGGTCTTCAGGCCCCGATGCCCTCCTTCTCCAGGGTCCCTGTGCTCTCTGCTCAGAGTGCATCATCCACGTTTAACAGTGATCAGATTACATTTCTTCATAAGCTATTGAAAGGTGTAGTTTTCACCGGTTGAGCACTGCAATATTTCTGGTTTCACTTCTCACGCCTCGCGGTTCACATTTTGGTTTGGCATGAATGGGGCGACACAGGAACATTCAAGATCACTTGTTGTTCTAGTGTACACCTGTTACACGGCCTGAAGTAATTACTGACTTGGTTTTCTCCAACACACAGTGATCTGCAGGAAGAGGAACCAGTACAGTCTTAATTGATAAACACCTTATGATTCTTATTGTATTCTTACTTTCCCTTCAGAAATAAATGATTTTAAGATTAAAACTTGTGTTTTTCTATAGCTGCCTTACAACTCAATACTTGTAAAATGATTAACTTCTTCATGAAATTGTTTAAATATTTTTATGCTGCTTGGTTGCCCTGCAAAGTCTTGGAATTCTTTAATTCCTGGAATTTTTTGGTCTTGTTTTGATCAGTACTGCAGGCTAATGAGCACAGATGTGATGAAATGAGAACCTGTGGTGATCTGACAGAACACAATACACTGAGTGCAATAGAGTCAGACCCTTCAGCATCCTGTAGCTTGGCTTTGTGTCTTATCTGTGTCAGGCTCTACGTGTTCATGCAGATGGCTTACATGTATACCATGGGCACATCTTTATTACAATGTCACACAGTTAGTTTGGGTGTGCAACAATGCCCAGCATGTCTTACTGTCAAATAGCAAAGCTCTATGTGATTCTTTTTGTTTTGAAGTTCCAGAGTGACAAAATAGTAATGAAATTGTATCTCAGGACCAGGGTGTGTGGGTTTATTGTCTGCATAGACCATGATCTGGTCAGTGTGCCTGATCTTTGCTTGCACCTTGGTTTAATTTCATTTAGGGCTCTTATAACATATACTGTATGCAGACTTAGGGCTTCAAATTTGCACTGGTTCTTATATGTTAAAAATAAAGAATTCCATAAGTCCCTTTTTTGAGAAGAGTTGTACAGTAGCTTACACTTGTTCAGAGGGTGTATTTAGAGTAGTATTTTAAAATGCAGATATAGAATGAGGAAGGCTTTCATCTGTGATGATAAGAACGATGTTACATTCTTTGCAATTAGGTTTTAATGAAGGTTGATCTAAGTCCCTGGGGCGGGATGTGAGGCAGGAGTCAGAAACCAGTGTAAGTCCATGGGTGAATTCCTGAGGCTGCTCCTGAGCTCCGATTGTCCCGTTGAAACCAGACTGGTAGCGCGGAGCCTTCAACTGCTGTGAGGTCCGAGCAGCGACCCAGCTCCCGCGCAGCTGCAGAACCGGGAGAACAGGATCTTGTCAGTAGGCTGCTCTCGCTTTCTCCAGGCACCATATCAATTGAAAGAAATATGTCTGGTTAGTGGGCTACTGCAAAATTCTATATCGACCCTTAGAGTCACTGTTTGTTTCATTGCATTCCTGAATGCACCTGCACTTAATATCCTTGTTTCCTTGTTTTATTTGTGAGCTATCCGTATTTGTTGGTGGAGTTGTTTTTGCTGTGTCTTTGCAGATTTTGATTCCTAGGATCCCAATTACTTAGTTTCTTTGATCTGTATGATTGAGATACTTATATATATGAGATACTAGAATATCATTTTGTAGCTTGATGGCCAGGATTGTGTGATACTGTAATTGAGGACCTGACTCACTGCTTCTGTTCATTCAGTGGGACTGTTCTAAACTTTTTCTGGACCTTCACAAAGTGCAATCCTGAACTACTTTGAATTTGAATTTTGTGCTTCCCTCTGCTGGGTTTAATAGGTACTGCAACGCTAATCTGTCACGGCCTCTTATTTCAAGAATCATATTGTAATCAAAGCATAAGGGTGACAAGCGAGGGGAGGTCATTCAGCCCATCTGACCAGTTTAGTCGTTTTAGTAGTGGGTAGCTTATTGATCCAATGATTTCATCCAGCCATTTCTTGTAGGAAGCCAAAGCCCCATGGGAAAACATGGAAAACACATTATTCGACCTTAAAAAAAGGGAGAAGCTGCTTCTCAAGAGAGAACCACTCTCCCACAAGATGGATGGGGAATGGGGTCAGCTTACTGGAGTAGATCAGTGTTCCTGTGTGATAGGAAATAAACAAAAGCTTTATTTTATACTGTGCTGCCATTCTTGTACACCTGAGGACAGCTTGGCCATTTGTTAAGAGAGTATCAGGCGTGCATCTGATCTGATCAGAAAGCCTGACTTCAGGTTTAACATGCTGAAGCACCTTGTTTTATTTGCAGGGTAGTCTCTTGAAAGTACGTCTTTGAAATGAAAATGTTACTTCCTGCCTGGATTACAATTATCTCCATTTTGAATAGACTATAAACATGTATTACTTTAATTTTCACCACGTTAAAGATAGGTTAGGATTTTCCTTTCCAGGTTAATGTTTCCATTTTTTGTAGTTAAGGAATAAATCCTGTTATTTAAGTTTTAATATATATATATAGACAGAAATGTGTAATTTTTCCGTAATATCTGAACAACTATCAGTGAATCCCTTGTGAGTTTTGCATGCAAGCAGGGTGTAAATTTGATGCAGGGCTTGTTTGTAAACTCATCTCCATGTGGCCTGTCACTCTCTGGGCAGTGATAGGTCAGAGGTGACTTAGCACTGTCAGTGCTGTGTCTCAGATGTCTTTTGATTCTTTCTTCTTAAGTTTTAAATGGGTACTCGTGGCTTTGGTCATCTATAACTCTGTTTTAAAGAGTTTTAAAATCTTTAGAAAGAAGGTGAAATCATCTATAAATGACAAGCCCAATCCTTGGTTTTTATCCACATAGGTGTGGTATTATAGGCAGTTGGCTTCTCTAAACTGTCTGTTCCATCATCTCCCAGGGTCTTGACTATCCTCCTTCATGGCTATCTGAATGCATGTGCTGGCAGAATGAGAAGTGGAGATTACCAGACCTGTGGCATCTCTTCTCAGTGTAGAGCTGGCCACTGTTCTTGTCAAACTCATCCTCATCTCTCTTCATTTCCAGCATTACACCAAAGATGCTGACGGCCTGTGTACCAGATTGATTAAGCCCAAACTAATGGAAGGAACTGTCGCTGCCCAGGACGAGTTTTCCAGAAGTAAGTCAACCCACTGTGCCCACATGATGCTGGGACACTCGTATCTTTAAGCAGTGAAAGGGTATGTGAATTGGACATGACTGGAACATAGGCCCTTCTTAATGTCCAACTGTTGGGTTAATCTCTGTACAGTCATGCTTGTGACTGGAGAGATTTTCTCACAAGTAAGAGTATAATCAACTCGCGAATGGCACTGTAATCTCTGTCTGTTCATGAACATGTTTAGCAAATTTAACAAGTACTTTCAATATATATTGTCTTGCAGAAATATTTGCACCCTCCCAATGTCACATTTTGTTGAATTACAATGTATACAAACAGTTTTAAAGTGAATATTTTTAAACTAAATTTGAATGTACAAACTGAACACTTTTATGAATGAAAAAAAGTTAAACAGCTGCAAAAACTACAGGTAAAATCAAAGTTCTCTACCTGACTTTAGGACCTTACAGAGATAGGTGTATTTATTGTGAAATCATGTGAACCACTGTTGTTAGACAAGAGTCCAAAAACTTCTTGAAGCTGTTCACCTGTTTGAGAGACTGCTCTACAGAAGAAGCCTGAAGCCATCAGAAATCAGCCACACTGGTTGTGTTTTTTAGCACAAAACTCGAGGGCTTTTCAGGTATCCAGTGCAGAAACTGTAGAGGATACCCAGTTAGGTTAGAAGAGGTTGGCCAACACGATCGTGCCTCAGCAGCGAAGAGTGCACAAGAACAGAGGCTCTCTTGTTTGTTGGTGCTTTTGCATTGCAGACACACTTGTTCATTTCTTGTCAGACGAACGTGGGGAGTGGTAATCCAAGTTTTTGTTTAAAAGATGCGGTGAGCACTGAGAGAGACCTGCCTCCTTCTTTTACAGGTGGCTGGGCTTTAAACAGAAAGGAACTCAAGCTCATACAGAGCATAGGGAAAGGGGAGTTTGGAGGTAAGTTTATTTCCGGGAGGGAGAGATGCTGTTCATGGCGACCATTCATCCTGTTTGCATAGTTTAAAGTCTTAGGAAGAGGCACACAAATGACAAATATCAAATGCTAGTAAGAAATTCTGTTAAGTGTGATGCATATTGTGTCGTAGTACACAGCAGTGAATATGCAAATAAACTCCTCCTTGTTACCAAGTATAAATTACAGTTGCCAAACACCTTTTAAAGCTAAGGTTTTAAACCAACATTCATACCTATTAATATGCATTATAATATCTGTTCTTCTTTTTGAATTTATGTTGCATGTTTTCAGAATTGGGAGTGTGTTGTACTGTATATTGTATTTAGCAGACAAGAAGAACTGCCTGTAAAGGATAATTAATTCAGTCCCGTGAATTAAACAGCAAGTTTACATAAGTAATTTAATAGAGTCAATGTCTTGGATTAGAAGGACAGTTGGTAATTGTGCAGAATAGAAATAGAAAGTGCGAATGGAGCAAGCACAAATCCCACTGTTAGATCTGTCGTGTGCAAAACCTCAGCTGAAAGTGTGTGCCGCTCTTTGCAGATGTGATGGTGGGCGACTACAGAGGGACCAAGGTTGCTGTGAAGTGCATCAAACACGACGCCACAGCACAGGCTTTCATCGCAGAGGCGTCTGTCATGACGTGAGTGTCAGCGCTACAGGGCCTGTGCCCTGCATCTCTTCTAGGCTGGGGCAGCCTGCTGCTGTGGCCTGAAAGATGATGAATTGCATTGATGTGTGGAGGTGTAGAAGCAGGAAGAATATTCATTCACAATTTAAATAAGAAAAGTGAAAGGAAATCTTTTTCAGACAGTTAAATCCATCCATCCATCTTTTCTGCTAGACCTGGAAATTCCGTTCATATAGTTGTAAGATTGTATTTCTCCCTCATCATCACCGTGATGACCTGTCATCATGAGAGGTGAGCGGGAGTTGAACAGTGAGTAGAGGTGTGACCAAGCCGACTCTCACTAACCGGCAGGGGTGAGTGCCATGTGTATGAACAGGGTTGCGTGTGCCTTAGAACACGGGGCAGAGGCAGGGGCAGGAGCAGGGGCAGTGTTAGGGACAGGGGCAGGAGCAGGGGCAGTGTTAGGGACAGGGGCAGTGTTAGGGACAGGGGCAGG